CAAATTGGTTTTCAAGACCGTGGAGTTGTACTGGTAGTGTTATCGACTACTGTTATTTCAGTTTTGTAACATTGCTACGCATAAAGAAGCCTACTTTGATAAGGATCTCCTAAAAAAACGATTACCAAGGAGTCATTTAACTCCAGGCTTTCAAAGGAGTGTCTGATTGTTTCTCTTTTATCCGGGAGAAATCAGTGGTGACTGACACACTGCAGAGTTAATACAATAACCAGTGAAACTAAAAATGTAAAAAGGTACCGTGACCAAAACATGCACTGAGTGTTAAAAACTCAACATGTTTGTGACTTGCTCAAATTGTTAAATAATACTTGCTCGTTTATATCTCTCGTGAGGTGGAAGGGGTGATGGAAAATGTGGGTCTCTGATGCTGGACTGGAGCGTTTCTGCTAATAATTCTTCTTAGTGCTGTCAGTTTTTGAAACAGAGCCTTGGGACAGGTTGGCTCTGATAGCTTGGCGGCTAATGTCAACACTGGACCTCAGAGAGTCATTACGTATAATGTGGTGCTGCTGAGTGCCCGGGCCTCTGCTCCATAAAAACAGGTGGTCCCAGGGTCACCTCTCCCTTCTCTTCCCTTCACCTCCTCTACTTAGCATACCTTATGGCTCTTTCTCTCCTCTCCTCTCCAGCTCCCCGTCCACCATTCCCTCAGCACACACGGGAAAGGTTATTTGGACAATTGGTGGTGATTAGCTCTTGATTTGGCTCACACTTTTCGTTTGATCAAACCGTGGCATGGAAGCAAAAGCCAGGGCAACTGAGGGGCGCAGCTGTGGCCCGGCCATGACAGAAATTGCGTGAGGAAAACCAGAAGAAGAAGGCGGAGGGGAAAGGAGGAATCATAAGAGGAGGTAGGGTTGAAGAGGTAGAAGAGGAGGAGCGGGGGTTTGAGGATCTCTAGGGTCCTTTGCTTTCTTGGCAGTTTGAGTTATGGATTTGTGCTGCTGGCAGAGAAAATGTGAACTTCTTTGTCCCTGTTATTCCAGGTGTTGGTCCTCGTAAAGACTAAAAAGAAATCCCTTCCTTTCAACTGTCCATCCAACAACCTGCTTCCGTCCTCTCTATGCCTCTCCTGGGTGGTGGATTGCTAACAGGAAAAAATGTGGGTGCTGCTTTAAAGCTTGTTAGACAATCAGGTTATGAAGTCTGCTCTGCCCTAAAGTGTTTGAAGGCTTTGTTGGCTGCGCTGCCATGATCTGTGGGTTGGATGGGGTTTGAGTTGGGCTTAGGGTTGGCTCAGTGCCTCAACCTGGCTGGTTAGGCCAAGGAATCTTTCTCACAGTAACGGCTGTTCTATCCATCCATCCATCCATCCACCCAGTCATACAGCCCGCCAGGCAAGTGGGAAGGCCTCTCACTATCTGGGTGTTTAGCCAACAAATCCCCACTCCTTTGGCCTGTTCTCTACACCCATATATCAGGCTGACGGCTGTGGAGAACCCAACATCCAGCCAGCTGAATAAAAAAGAGATTAAGCACCAACCCGAATCCATTTAATTACTCGTTCAACAGCTCACGGCATGGAACTCCAACCACTGTGAGAACTTTGGTGTTCTTCAGCCTTTACCGTTTCTCCCAGTGACCGCAGGGAGGTTGAAGGAGGAAGCTTGTAACAAAGAAATGTTGGCCATGGCAACTCAAGCAAACGCATATTCACTTGTTAACTGCATGTTTGCGCGTCTGCAATTTAAGGTATTGTTACCAGGTTGTGTAAGTCTGTAGATGGAAGCCAGTTGAAAAGTCTGTTTTAAAAATGTCATCACATCACATCTGCAGGCGTCATGCAAAAGTCAGCATCATGAGGGTTTTCTTATTTTGTTACAGTATTTGTACCCATCATTAGGGATGGGGATTAATAAGATTGTATCAATGCATATTCCTTCAACTATTCCTCTTATCATCTCATTGTGTGATAGCTTCCCCTGTTAATACCTGATACATTGTTGGGTGGGTACAAATATTTACAAACCATACAAGCAAGGTTTTTTAATTAAATGTTCACGTTTACGTCATTTATATTGGATATTTGCATAGAAACATAAAAACACAAACATAATATTCAAAAAACAATAGTTACTTTGTTTATAAAAAAAATCTTGGCATTAGTAGTTTAAGTAGTGGATTATAAACTGCTTAGAACAAGTATTAGGAAGTTAAACATTATAATTCATATCACTCTCATATCTATTCTGTGTTCCTGACATCTCTTTCAAAGAAGTGTATTCAAGTTTATTACCAAAGACTAAGACTTACTTTAAAACACAACATTAATAGCGTTATAATTTATCTCCAACCAATACTAATTAAGACTTAATAGAGCTTGAACGTATAATAATGGGTAATAGGGTTTGTCCCCTCAGGTTTTTTCGAAGTGAAACATTAAACAGAGCGTGTATGCTTTGTCAACTAGAACAAATAAAACTTAGAACAGGAAGTGGTTGTTGATTAACAACTTTAAATGTCTTCAATGGTAGAGATCTTTTGAAATTGATAATCACTTAACTACTTTATATCAACACTGATAAAAATGCTTAATAAACAGATTTGATGTATGTGTTTTAACCAAAACATTGAAACTTCTGTGTTTTAAGTGAACTGTGAACTTTGGAAAGATGACAGGCCTTTGACGGGGGTTACTGAAATTGTGACAGGATTGAGGCAATGAAATATTATAGTTCACAAGGATAGGGTTTCAGCCACAGTAGACGGCATTTATTGTCTTGGCACTTCTCAGGCGGTGTGCAACAGCCTCCAATCAGCAGCTATGATATGGCCCGTTGTAAAAAATTCATCAGTTGGACAGCAGCAAATTTGCATTTGAAATAGTGGTGAACCAGGACGATAAATGCTGCTTCTCTGCCCCATCAGGGAGGAGCTGAGTGCTGGGGGAGGACTGGCCATCGAGGGAGAAACCTAGGGGGGGACCCAGGGTGCTGCAGACTGCAGAAAAGTCGCATGACCTTTTTTGGAACTCTGCCATCCGCCTGCCACTGAAACACAGTCTGGCTAATTAAAGTTTCAGTGGCATTGGTTTTTCACTGGCACAGCACCTCGGGCAACCTTGGAGGCTCTTAGGCAGGCGATACACACAGAGGGAAGGCTGGGAGGCGAGTATTGGAAACGGTTGAACAAGAGGACAGCCACTAGAGGACAGCAAGGCAGATTCCAGCAATAACAGTCAAAGTCAGTGGCTTTCCATAACACAGGAGAAAAGCCGTATATTAGAATGCAAATCTACAGTCACAAACATGCACACTACCGGGGTGCTTTACATAAGCTCCGACAAGGTTTGCCCTTCCGAATAGTTATGCTCAAAATATTCAAGATCATATGGAATTAGAAATGAAATTGAAACTGTCCAACTATGTACAACTGGGTGAACGCAAGAGCTAAGCGAGAGATATGCGATGTCAAAATGCTGAGTGCTTTTCCAAATCTTATCGGGCCGCCTCTCAGGCTAATGGAATTTTGATGGGTCAGTATCAAGAATAAATGCATGACTTATGACACGGGCTACCGGGAGTATTACCAAATATACCGGGCAGCTTGTTCCCGTCTCCAAAGGATCATTGAATAATTGGCTGCGTTTGACCAGGACATTTCTGGAAATATGGCCAAGAAAAGGTTATGCAACCAGACAGACTCGCTCCTGGCCTGCATTTCACAATCTACTGGCCTTGTCTCCATTAATGATCTTGACCCCCTTTTCACCATTTTAGAAGTCGAAGGGCCTAATGGACCCGAACAAAGCTGCTTGTGTGTGTGTGTGTGAGTGTGTGTCAGTGTGTGTGTAAGAGAGACTGAGACACTTAGAGTAAGAAAGCCCCCTATGACTGTGTTACAGCTTGATGAGGTCTTGGTCTGTGATTCCTGGGGGAGGTGGTTCAATCTTAGCTTTATTAGGCCTTATTGAGCTGTGTGTAGGCAGGTGTGTGTGTGTGTGTTTTCTCTATCAAGAACATTTGGCAGAGCTTCATGAGCACCTTTGTGATTGTCCCTAAAATACACTCTGTTGGTAGCAGTTTAATGGGGTGTGCAAGGTATGGTACATGGCTCTTCTTACATGCCTGTCATTTTCTCCTCTAAGGTAAACATTGTAGTTTGATCAGATTGGCTTTGAAAAGCTTGAATGTGTTATTTGTGTTTACATACAAGGGCCTGTTTACAAAAACAACATATGTAGGTTAAGTCTAAGTATGCTGCAGCCATGTCCACATTGACCTATGTCATATATAATTTGAGTTGAACTTACACTATCACACATTTTCCAACATTTTTCTTAAGTTTCATTTGGTTGCTTGCATAGAATAATGGTCTTTTAGCGGCGTCCTTTCCCATTAGGACATTTGACTTGGTTGTTAGCTTTATAGTTTGCTGCACTTGAATCAAAGCTACACTTAAACGCTCCAAACGCAAATTGGTTTTCCATCTTGTCCAAGTACAACTACCTCCAGACAATGTATTTTGAGTCCGGTCTGGCAGCTATTAATTCAGCTAATTACTGAAATCTGATCGTGCCCGGGTAAGCTCCCCATTTGACTCATTGGGATTCTGGGACAAGCACTTAAAAGTTCCCCCTCCACGTGAAACATCTTTATCATTTTTAGCCTGAGAAATTGCCTCTATTAAATGCTCTTAAAGAGGGCAGATTAAATTAGTACCTCTATACATATAAAAAAGATTTAACTTTTGTACTTGATCATTATATGCAATATTAAGTTTCCAGCAGAGGAAAATGTCAGAACGATTGTCCATTTCATTAACATAGAATATATGTAGGGATTAATATGGAAACACAAAGTTTTCACACTGATTAAATAGAAATTGATGACATTTATTATAAGTAGGGAGTTGGAGTATTATATTTATATTAAGAGGAATACTGTACACTTGGTGAAACACATACAGCCACGAGCAGTACATCATGGCCAATTACACCCCTCAGTGTGAATAGAACATCTGTATTTCAGTGTACTCACGGTTGGCAGAGTTTGATGAGGTCCTGGTCGGTGGTCCCAGGTGGCAGGCCTCGGATGTACAGGTTGGTCTTACTCAGCTGCTCCGCCCCTCCCTGGCTGCAGCTGTTGGTGCTGGGGCTGGGAGGAGCCATCGGATGAGGGGGAGGAGCATAGGGCTGCTGAGAAAAGAGAAGCAAAGAGAGGAAAAATTTAATTTAAAACTGATACAAAATTGATTTCATCTTGGGATGACACAGAGGTAGGTTGGGAAACATATTACATAAGACAGGAGATGAAAGTGTGATAAGGAATGGAAAATATGTTTTGAAGAAACAGCAGGCACTTCCAATTCATTGTCATTGAAATTGTGAGGTTAGACATTTAAGGGCGGCTGCGAGGCTAAGAGGAAATGATATCAGGGTCACTAAGAGGTGAACTGAGCAGCAGATAATATGAATGAGTAAAAATTCCAAGAAAAATAAACTCCTAACCTCAACCCTAAATAACACATTAAGGGGAAAATATTCTCATGTGAAGAAGGTCTGCACAATGACAAGTTCTCACACGAGATGACACCCTCCACACACTTTTACTTTCAATTATTGTCACCTTTGTACTACATATATTGCAATGAATTGCATCTGAAATTCAGTGAGAGAGCAGGTCTTTTTTTTGGACAAAAACTGGAGTCAAGAGTGGAAACATTGCAACATTTTTTATTTTAATTAAACATTTCACCAAGGAGATTCTCTGAAATTAGGGTTCATAAGGCCTCCAGCAGCTTGGAACAGATTTAAATGATGGCAACTTCCTGCTAACTATTCATACCCTCAATACCAATTCCATTACACTGTAAAACAATTTACACCTCCAAGGGTGTGATATCTTCACGCAGTAATCCCCTCCAGCCTATTTCATAAACATCTTTATATCAACCTCTTTTTTTTCAGTATAATTTCTATCTACTGAAATGTATTCAAATTGTTCAGATGTGTGATTCCCTTTATTTGTTCTTCTCTCTTTCCCCTCCTCTGCTCTCCTCATGTGCTGTTGTGCTGTTAGTGTAGATTTATGGTGTAGGTGTCAGGGCCCCCTGCTCACACTCCATTTATATCTCTATTGCGGGGACACTGCATATAGTGACAGGAAGAGAGAAGCAGGACCCTGTGGGCATGAGCGGAAAGAGAGAGAGGGGGGGGGGAGAAAGACTAGTAGAGAAAAAGAGGCGATGCACACTGCAATAAAGTAAGTGAGTGATGGATGAAACGGTCAAATGAAAAAAAAGATGGTCAGGCAGAGAGGGGAGCATGACTAAATACCACCACCAGCTCCAGTTAACCAACTTAACCCCTTATCCTCCCCAGAGAGAACCTAAAGACCCCATACCATGCCGTACACACACACACACACACACACACACACACACACACACACACACAACACACACACACACACACACACACACACACACACACACACACACACACACACACACACACACACACACACACACACACACACACACACACACACACACACACACACACACACACACACACACACACACACACACACACACACACACACACACACACACACACACACACACACACACACACACACACACACACACACCCCCACCCCCCCCCCGATTAGCCCTCCAATCCGCCCCACACGTTAGCAGCGGCTGTTGAAGCATGGTTGATTTGATGCGCTATTTTAAGCGTGTGTGCCATGCCAGCGTGTTGCCTCCCACTCCCCAGACAAAGAGCCGGGGTCCCTGGAGCGTGAAGAAGGAGCCACGTCCATCAATGGATGGCCAATTACCACGCTGAGCTAAGTGGAACTGATGGGCAGCCACTCGCTGTGCCGGACGCACACTACTGTACACACATCTGTGTTTGTGCACTCACACGCATACACGCCACGTGATGACACAGAAACACCTTTTTCACACGGAAGCCAACAACAGTCACAGCACACCATCGCCAGAGCTGTTTGAAATCCTTAAGGGCAACTTCCACTGAACTTTCAAGTAATCTGTGAAAAATCTCAAGTGGAGTCCTAGACTGCAGGCCATGTCCATGTCAGGTCACAGGTGGTCATTAGACAAGTCAAAATCAAGAGGAAAGTCTGTGAACAATGTTGAAAATGCCTTGACATTTAACTATTTTGCTTTCTATTGTGATTTATTTACACATCTCAGACGATTTTTAACTCTTTGCTTTCGAATAAGACTAATCATTTAATGGTGTGTGGCTATATAAGGCCTGCTATTTACCAGCGTCGCTCCTGTATCAGGAAATATCACAAAGAATACTTTACCAGGTGTCCGTATGTCCGTCTGTCTGTGTGTGTTTTTTTTTCACAGCAATTGCTTGGCAAACCGTGCAAGATGCAGTCGAGAAACGTTACAGATGTGCGTGTGAGTGTGACACAAATAAAGTTCAAAGAACTCAAATGTCGACAAAGTATGCACACACAATGCCTGGTTCAGATCTGGCCAGAATGTGTTGCCTCTCTTTATGCACGGTTTACTGTTCGCTCTCCACTTTTGATTTTTAATTAACATACATTTTTCATCAATCGCCTTCTCAAGTTACTTCATCACAACAAGAGAAAACTTCAAGCCTGAACATTTGACTTAAGTCTGACTCAAGTCTGGGTTCCAGTCTTTAACTTTCATCGCCAAACACAGACACACACCCCTTATGCAGATTGTGCCTCCCACTGCTTAACACACTGCTAGCACTTGGTTCACAGACTGAAATGAAAACGCAGCACTAGTCTCCAGTCACTCACGTTTCCATGCAGTGGCAGTAGAACAGAAGAATCTTAATCTCTTGAGTGCTCAATGGGAGTTATTTTCTCCCACTCAAAGTCATAGGAATGTGCACAGCTGCAGTTCAAAACTCGTCTTTGAGGCTTTCACCTCAGGTCCCCCTCCCCTCCCCTTCTTGTTGTATTTGTCCACTGTATAGCTGACATTACAAACAGTACTTAACATACCATGCGACACGTACAAATTCACCAGCACAAGAACGAGACGCTACACAAAGTTGCTGTCAGCGCTGAAGGTTAATTGAAAACCCCTCTCTTTTTCTTTGGCTTTCTTTCTTTGTTTTAGCTCTTCAGTAATACAAACAGCCCTCCTCCTCTTTCTTCTCCTCCCTGGGCTCCAGGCTTGGCTAGCATCCTGGGCTTTGGAATTCATGTGTCCCGCCCTATCGATTTGCTTTCATTTTTTAAGGTCAGAAGCTGAAATCTTACACAATGAGGCATGGAGGGTCAAAACCAGCCCATTACTTACAGTGTTGGGGCGAGAAGACGTGAGAGTGAGGTTATCCAAGGGGAAAAGAAAAGACCGGAAGAGACCCCAGGGACAGAGAATGGAATGGCTGCCGAAGATCAACTGGGAAAGGCGACTGTTCGGTGGATAGTGGGATGGGCTGAGTGGGATAGGGTAAGGGTTGTGTTTGGACTCACGGATTTATCTGTGATTTTGTGTTTTTGTCGTACTATTGGAAACATTTATAAAGAGTTCTACTTTTGCAGACTCAAGGGATGCAAAAGCTGGATAGGCAAAATACATAAGAACTGCCAAAAGAGCCGGCTTTTAAAATGCTTCTGTGAGTCTACATGTGTAATGTATGTATATACATGCGTCGGGGGCAGGTTGTGAACTTGTGCAAGCGTGGGAGTGAACTGAGAATGCACACATCGCCTGTTGCTTCAACCCACAAGCACAAACACGCATTCCCAGCAAAACTGTTTCCGTCATTTTTTGGTGTTTAAAATCGAATTCTCTCCTGGCTTCCTCCGGTCGCCCCACTTGAGGTTAATAACCAAGCTTGTTTCGCGTTCCGGATGCTTCCGTGACTGCTGTTTACCCTCTGCCTGTCAGACTGTACAAATCCAGCTTCTCAAATATATAATAAATACAGGCCTTGCGTGTCAGAATGATGAGGATTGAATACAGCACTTGACAAAGGGTATTTCAGCCAGAGAGGGGAGGGATTGGATGATTGGGGGAATGGCAGGGAGAGACAAAGGGGAAAAGAGCAGGAGTTAAAGAGAGGAATAGAAGAGAGTCGTGGAGAATAGCTGGTTATGACACTTCAAAAACCTCCAGGTGGTAAATGAGAAAAACCTCCATTCTCCCTCCTCCCTACCCAGCTGTGACATGCCGCTACAGAGGCTTACTGGGGATTTCAATTTGCCGCACTGTATTTTAGATGGGCAGAATGGTTTACACAGGCCCAATTTACCAAGCCACCCGTGTGTGTGTGGGGGGGGGGAGTTACACAGCCTCCGTGACATGCCAGCGAATGTTTATGAGTGAATTAAGTGAGGATGATAAATCTCACGTGCGTTGCTTAGGCTGAGGGCACACAGCGCTCTACTGTATATTCACACACATTTTGTATACAGATCAGTGCTGGCTCTCACTGAGATGAATATGTAAACCTGAACCTACTGTACGGTGTTTAATGTTTTTTTTCACGTCCAGGTACTTTAAATACAGCATCTTTATACTACAGTATATAAAGTCTTTATGCATTGTAGCAATGACCGTGTGTTCTTTTTAACCATATTTACACTAGATCACTCTCTTTGTAAATAATATCCCCCTTCAATAGTGGTTATTGTCAGAGTTTATAGATTGTTATCTCCAAAGTCTACTGTATATTTTCTACTTTTAATGCTGTTTTAATTCTATTTTGAGATGTTTAATTTCTAGTATTGTTTATTTCTACTCTTTAATTCTACTTATGTGCAATGCCTTGTTTGGGTTTGTATGCTGCTGCAATGCAAACATTTCCCAATTTGGGATGAATAAAGTACCTTTTATCTTATGTAATTTATTACATTACATTACATGTTACTTGTTAGACGCTTTTATCCAAAGCGACTAACATACTCAATACTTTATCTCAAATATCAACATTTTCAGCAGCCCATTTGATTTGTTGGATTATACAATGGGTTTGGTAGGGGTTGATTTACCTTTAAAATATACCAGGAAGCGATAACATTTCATCTTTTTGATTAAAGGGAAAGTAAAGGACAGGAAAATTAAAGCAGAAAATGTCAAATTGAAAAAGTAAAATTTGATTAAGTGCTTATGATATGGAAAGTCTTTTGTAAGCACTTGCAATTGTGGTTTACCCTTCTTTCC